TCAAGGTTTGGGCCCAAAAACTACTTATTCCACAAAACTTAGTGCATTTATTACTCAGCCTTTTTACAGTGATTATAAGAGGTCCCCAGCCTCCAAGTTTAAAGTCCCTCCTTTCATTTCTAAAGTGATTTGTGTATAATGTAAGCCACTAGAGGTCAGTGTTGTGTTGATAAACACAGATGCCTTCAGGTTTTGAGTCTTCCTTTTGAACTCTGAATCTTGTTGCTAGTTGTCTTGTGAGCTGGGACTTGCATTCCACACGAGGCCTTTATTTAATAGTGTGTATAAAATGCTTCATAGGAACTCTGACATTTGACAGTTAATAGTGACATCTTAGGTTCACAGTTCACATTAGGTAATGCTGTGGCTATGTGCACAGCCCCCTACTGCTTTCTAGTAGTTTATCCTTGAATTTTAGGGACAGGTCACATTCTCATACGGACTCCATTTTGTTATCTGCTGCATGCATGTAGTAAACTTGTATCTCAGTTGTACTCTGTGTGTGTTAGGTGCCTGCACTGGGGATTCCTACAGTGACAAAGCTTTTCTTATTTTCACATTGATTCACATTGTTTTAGTGTTTTTATGCCAATTTCACCTGAATATCTAGCAGGCTTATGATATTCAACCTTAATGATTCTTCATTTAGCCTGTGATTGGCATGTTCTCTGTTCTGAAGTTAGCTCCACTATTTAGCCATCAAAACCAGAATACTTTGAATTGTTCTCATTTTTTTTCTCTCTATCATGTTCAGCATTCATATCAACAAAACAGTTATCTCTGGTTGGACCTTACTTGGTTGTTATCATTGTTTTTTGGGTTGTTACAGTGATCTAGGTTGCTTTTCCTGCCTTTAGTCTAGTTTCCCACAGTTGATTACTCTCTGTACCGAGATGATTTCTCTATATTGTAAAGCAGACCTTGTAATTCTCTGTTCACACTCCTTCATCATTTCTCCTTTGCCTCCTCAGCATTGAAATTGCTTCACATGGTATTCAATTAGGCATTCGATACATGTTTGATGGAGAACAGAAATATAGAAAGTACCATTTGAGTTATATATAAGGGACACTGCTTTCTTTTCATTCTCTTCTTCCCTCCTTCCCTCCCTCTTTCCCCTCTTTTTGTTCTTGTTTTACCTCTTTTATTTATACTTTTTAAAAGACAGGGTCTTATGTAGCCTAGCCTACCCTTGAACTTACTATGGTCCTTCTATTTTCATCTTCCAAGTACTGCCATTACAGGTGTGCTGCCATGCCTGCTTACAGAAGGCTTTCTATAGGAAAAACTTATTTGAATTTTGGAGAAAATGTTGGATTCAGTCATGTTATCGGGTAGAGGTATAATGTGAGTATACAAGTGGAAAGTCCCTTTGGTTTAGGATTTGATCCGAACTAAGTAGAAGGGACTACTGATATTTCTTTTTTTTTTTTTAATTTATTTAATTTTATGTGCATTGGTGGGAAGGTGTCAGACCACCTGGAACTGGAGTTATAGACAGTTGTACTGTCATATGGGTACTGGTATTTGAACTTGGATCCTTTGGAAGAGCAGACAGCACTCTTAACCACTGAGCCATCTCCCCAGGCCCCTGATCTTTCTATTATGTGGAATGTAAGTAATTAGTTTTTGGAGTTTGGTCCTGTACTTCTTAACCTTCACTCTTAATTTGCATGAAGATTTTTGCATATACATTGAACAGGAGCTTTGGTTAGGGGTGGTGATGGAGGTGATGAGTTCCATTATTGTTTTGAATCAAAGTGATATCAGAAAATACCAACAATATAGAAAACTGGAGATGTGCTTGTGAGTTATTGAATAAGAAAAGAGAACAAAAGTTGAGGAATTCTCAAGGAAGAATAGGTAGGAATGGCAAAGTGAATTAAAGTTATTCACTGAAAGAATGAGCAGGAAAAAGTGAAGACACTAGTGCTTAGGACTCACGGCCACTAAGTGCCTTGTCCTTCCTTCCCTATAGAACAGGCTGAGTCTTAGGAGTTAGCTGGTTGCTGCCACAGTTCTGAATTTAAATGTTCTTGGTAAAGAACATGTTAAGAAAGAGCTCTGAAAAGTTCTAAGTGGAATTTTTCATAAACTTTAATGTTACATTTTCATAATGGTCTATTTGTGTTGTATTTATTTGTATGTGTATTTTGTCTTTGCCATCTCCTTTCAGTCTCATGTATTTTGAAAGATGGTGAGTTGAACGGACTTCCATATTGGTAATATCTGAGTATTTATGTGATTGTTCCACATGGCATTTTGTAGTTCTGCCAGTTCCTGCATGGCAGGTTTTCTGGTAGACCTTTTCCAGACATGGAAATGTGGTTATTGCTTGGGCCACAAGCAGACTCTAGGGCTTTAAGAATGCAACACAAAGCCCTGTGACTTTAGTTCAGAGCTCACTCCTTCATCATAGTGACTGGCAAGACTGTCTTGTATTCCCCTAAATTGATAGAAAGACTGTATGTCAACATCAACAATAAAAACAACAAAAACAAAAACAAAAATTATAGAAAAAAATCTAAAGTTATTTCCCTAGGTACTTTTAGATTTGTATGGTCTTATGTTTAATGTCAATATCTAGTGTGGCTCCTCTGGATTGTTTCTGCTAAACTGTCGGTATTTGATTGTGAAAGAACACTAATTGGTTGGGATTTGTTGTGAAGACATACTTAAGAACATCTTTGGCTTTCATGTTCTGAAAGAAGGTAGAGAAAGAAGGGAGTAAGCAGTCACTCCTCCATAGAAGATTTGTTCTTTGGAATAGGAAAGTGTGGAAGTTCTCCATTCGTTTTGTTTCCTGAGTCCTTGGTCCTTGGTGTGTGGTCTGCAGCAGATCAGTGCAGGAGGCTGGCTCACTGAGAGGTGTAGAAAGGATGCTGTACTTAACTTGAGTTCACGAATGCTTATGTTTCGTATAGACCCAAATTGTTTGTGGTTGCCTGCTCTAGCTTGGTTTGTTATTGAAGCCATGGATTTGGTGTAAGTGAACCCAGAATGCAGAGAAACAAGTTTGTGCATTGATTCAAATCTCTGGAATGTAGAGTCTTTTTATTTTGTTTTGGTTGAAACTAGCCCACATAGTTCGAGTTTTTCTGTTTTGCTATAGTTGTTTCATTTGACCAGTGCCTTAGCTGACTTCTAATACTGAAGAATTATCTTGAGTTCCTTAATCTCATTTAGATTCAGTGACACTTATTTTCTCATGAACTCATTTCAACTTGGTATTGAGGAGAAATATATTAATTAATATAGTGATCTTCAAGAAGTCATGAACTCAAGTCTTGCATCTTGGCATGATATGGAAAAGCAAAGTTTAATGGAGAAAATTTTCTGAATTAAACAAATTACCCGAGTTTCTTATCTATCTATCTATCTATCTATCTATCTATCTATCTATCTATCTATCTATCTATCTCTCCCTTTCTCTGTCTGTCTGTCTCTCTCTTTATCTATCTATCAACTATGTATCTATCATCTGTTGTTTTGAGACAGGGTTTCTCTGCATAGCCCTGGCTGTCCTAGAACTTGCTCTGTAGATCAGGATGGCCTCAAACTCACAGAGATCCTCCTGCCTCTTCCTCTGGGTGCTGAGAACATAGGCATGTGCCACCATGACATGGCTACCGAAGTTTCTTAGTGATAGTGTCATTACCATTCTTTTTTTCTTTTTTCATGTGTGTAGTATATATGTGAATTTACATGTGCTTGTGGAGGCCCAGCATTGGTGTTGGGTTTCTTCCCTGATTACTCCCCACTGTATGTATTGAGTTGTAGTTTTTCACTTGAGCCTAGAGATGCTGATTTGGCCAATCTCACTAGCCATATTGCTCCTGGGATGTCCTGTCTCTGCCTCTCAAGGATATGCAATGTACACTGTATATTTTGGTGTGGTCACAGAACCCTTATTGTGGAAGACATTTGCCCTATTCTTGAGCTGTTGATATAGTGAAGAATGAAGGTCTGGAACTTAGGAGCTCATACTTGAAACTTCTACTTATTGCTCATTGGTGTTGTGACTGGAGCAAACCTTTTGTCTTAACCTCAATTTTCTGAGAGTGGCTAAATTCACTTGTAGCTGCTCTGTGTGGTTAGAGGTTTTAATGTTGACTCTGGATGGGTCATTCTCTTTCTCATCAGGTCTATTCAAAGTATAATGTCATTTTAATTAACTTTTTTAGGTAAGTGCATTTTAAATTCTAAAGAATAAATCCTTTAAAACTCCTTTCCGTAGGCTACATTGAAAAAATGTGTTTTAAGGTAATTCATCCTCTTGACTAATTTTATTGCTTTCATATCCAAAACTCTGTTTTTTAAATAATCCCTATGCTTAAGTTTATTGCAGTTCATTTCAAATTGCTGTTCCATCTTCTTTTATCATTTTTGGTTTCAGTATTGCCTTTCTTTGTAGGATATCACCACTAGCCATTTGTACCACACTCCTGGACATGTAGGTGAAAATGGGATGGGTAGAGCTGTTACTGGTTGTTTAGCAAATACTTTTAAAGGCTTATGATAGTATCGACAAGGGTTGTTTGTTTGTTGTTTGTCTGTGTTGGCTCTGAAAAGGGCTAATCCAGGACAACTCCAGGACAAACACCGCACCTTAAACTGAATCTGGAAGTGCAAACCTGGGGTCCCAGCACTCGGGTCACGGAGAGGCATCCTCCACAAGACTCTGTATCACACAACAACATGCATCTGTACAAGACCCTGCATCAGACAACAACAGGCATCTGTATCAGACAACAACATGCATCTGTACAAGACAACAACATGCATCTGTACAAGACAACAACATGCATCTGTACAAGACCCTGCATCAGACAACAAAACAACATGCACACTCAAATTGACTTTCAGGTCTAAAAATTTATCTATTAATAAATCTTTTTTTCCTTAAGGTATTGATTTGTTAAAAAATAGTGCATTGGAAGCTTGAGGGTTTTTCCCTTCTAATTTTCATTATTTTCTGTATTTATGTTTAAATATCCTAGGCCCAACAGCAAAGAAGCCTGGATAACATTGTGTTGCAACAGCCTAAAATAGGTAGCAAGAGAAAATCTAAGAAAGATGTTTATACAATCATTGAGGCAGAGATGGAGAGCACAAGCCCGAAGTCTGAACAGGATTCAGGAATTCTGGATGTTGAAGATGAGGAAGATGATGAAGAGGTAAGAAATATTCAAATTAGGGAAATGAGACAGTTCTTAAGTTCAGTATGTGATGTTTGAAATGTGCTTATTCACATAATAGCTATGTGACTTTCAGAGTAGCTGTAGTGTTAAAGTTAATTGAACCCTAAATTAAAGAAATTGAAACAGCATAAAGGTAATTTACACTTTAAATGTATCATTATTTTGATTCCTTACTGATAGGATACTTCATCCAGGAATGGAAGAGGGGTGTTGGCCTGACTCAGGGCCCTGTTAGTAAGTCTGAGACAGTCTTTTGAGATCAAGAAAATTTATTTTTTTCCCTCCCTCCCTCCCTCCCTCCCTCCCTCCCTCCCTCCCTCCCTCCCTCCCTCCCTTCCTTCCTTCCTT